TCAGTGATGTAGGATTACCACAAATAATCATCAGTGACAGAGATCCAAAGTCTACTTCTGAATTCTGGAAAAGTCTGCATGCACTTATTGGAACAACATTAGCCCTTTCCACTGTGTACCATCCACAGACTGATGGGCTCAGTGAAAGAAATATTAGTACCTTAACTGAGATTATTAGGAGGTATTGCACAGAAGGACTCTGTTACACAGACAAAGACGGACACACACATGACTGGCATACATTGCTACCAGCCCTAGAATTAGCATATAATAGCAGTATACATAGCACAACAGGGAAGAAACCTTTTGAAGTAGAAAGAGGCTATTGTCCTAGATTACCAAAAGACCAAATAAAAAATAAAAATGTTGAATTTCATCCAACTTCCTTGAGTTTCTTTGATATGCTTGGTAAAGGAAGGGCTAGGGCAGTGCAATGTATTGAAGATTCCGTGACTTACAATCAAGAAAGATGGAATAAAACACATAAAGAACCTAAGTTTGTAGTAGGAGAACAAGTTCTACTCTCCACCCCAAACTTTACTAATCTTCAAGGACCTAAGAAACTTCAAGACCAATTTGTTGGACCTTTTGTGATACTAAAATTCCATGGAAGCAATGCAGTAGAAGTAGCATTGACAGAGCAATTTGGGAGGAAACACCCAGTATTCCCAATTTCACTAATAAAAAAAATATGCTTCAGATAAGAGCAAATTCCCTGACAGGGAAATACCCAAGAAAGCTCCTATCAGGTTTGAAACTGACGGAGAAAAGGTTTCTCACATATCATAAAGCAAATGGAAATACAAGTCAATGGTAAATCTTCAACACTTTATCTTGTAAGATACAAAAATAGAAGTGCAGATGAAGATGAATGGCTACCAGCTGATAAAGTACCCAATGGCAAAACAACGTTGAGAGACTTCAGAGCACAAAAAAGAGCTCATAAACCTTCTGAAAAGAAGTAATGACCTCCTTTGAGGGTGGGGAATTTCAGCCCTTGGTACATATACATGTACCCAAAACTAACTTATAATATTGAACTTTCACTTATAAACCTAATTACATGTACATACAGCTTATAAAACACATGTAACATATAATGAAACATATACAAACATCAATTAAACATACATATACATTCAAAAACATATGTAACATGTAATAATACACCAATTACACCTCATAACTCAGTGTCAAGAGTTAAAATGCTTATACTACATAAATTACATAACACATATATGTAATTATGTAATATTAATAATAATAATAATAAATAGTAATCATTAAACCCTAAACCACAGCAATGATACCAAAAAATATCACTACAATTAGGTTTGGAGAGGAGAGTATATAAACCCCTCCTCTCTCAGCCTTCAAGGACTTTCCTTCAAGGAATTTATTACAACTACTCTTTTAAAGAACAATTTAAAGTTCCTTTGAAGTACATAATCAAAAGTCTTATAAATATAAGACTAGTGATTCACTTCATATCTTTAAAGTAGATTCCTGACTAAAAGATAAAGTAATCTTATTCTTCCCCCTTTGGATCCTCTACTTCCCTCAAGTAGAACCCTTGTACTAGGTTAGTGGCCTTCCAATAAACAGTCAGGTTAGTCACCTTCAGAATAACTACAGGTTAGTAACCTATATCAATTCATAGGTTAGTGTACCTTCAGAACAACTACAGGTGAGTGACCTACATCAACTCCAGGTTAGTGACCTCTTGAATAACCATAAGTTGGTGACTTTATTACAACCAGGTTAGTGACCTCCATATCACTCTTCAATCTGTTACCTTGAAGATTGAAGGGGAGCCTTGGATCCAGCTTTCAACAATTATAACATCTTATAATTACAACCTTGAATCTCCTTTTTAGGAGTCATTTAACTGTAGTCTGTCTGGGTGTATCCAAACAGACCAGTTCCCCTCTTCCCCTTTCTCTCCTTTCTTAATAAATTTATTGTAATACATTATATTTGAAATATAACCTCAATTATCAAAAATTACCAACCTACCTTGCCATTTTAGTGAGTCTTGAGTACTCTTTTGAATACCCAGCCCTCACAGCAAGCAAAGCACAGCCATGAAAGGCGCAGCCAATATTGTAGCCACACGTCAAAACCTAGACCAAGAGATTGATGATGCTGAGCTTACCAATGATGTGATTGAGGAAGACTATCTGGCTGGAAATCACATGGCCATCCAAAACCTGCTCAACCCAATCTGTAAGTCTTCTTCCTTATTTAACAAATTCCCAAAACTCATCCCTTATCCATTTTTCTAAAAGCCAAGCCTACAGATAGGAACACTCAACCATCCATTGACCTCGGGCGGGAATCATCACAATCACTTATCAATTGCAATGGTTGTCTGAACATGTGTTCAGTCTTCAATATGCGAGAGAAACATGAAAGTCAGGTTGGCAAGAAGAAGGGCAATGAGTGTAGAAAGCCGGTGGAAGTAAACAATACTGCAGCCACATCCGAAGATCACAGTTCCACAGACAAACTCGATGCAAGTACATGTAGTAAGCTGGTTTCTATGATTGTTAATAATGCCAAAGGTCTTGAAAAGACTGTGGCTCGCTTACATCGATGGAACGTGCACGTTCCATTGAAGTTGCATCAACTCTCATCAAACTCAACAACTCAACTTGCGTACACTACTCAGACCCTCTTTGGTCAAGGAGATGTGTCAAAATCAAACCCGTTAGAGGCCAATAAATATGTAGTTGTCATCAAGAACAAGGTAAGGCATTCTTGATCTTGAATGAAAACATGAAAAATGTGTAGCTGATTTTGAATTTGGTCTTGGCTTAGATATTATACATAGGAAAGATCCTTGCTGTCTTTAGTTTCAACAACGGACAGCACGACTGGCAAATGAGCGCCGAAAATCACGCCAAAGTCTCCCACATGGCTTTGGAGATGTTCTTTTACAAACCTGGGTTTCCAATGCGGGCATCTTATTGTCGCGGAACTCCTCAGCACCGGACTTGGTCTCATTGCAAGTGTTCATACATTCACTTTCTCTTTCCAAGAACCTCGGGTCAGAATTTAAAATAGGTTTCAGGAGAAGCTGGCTGTGTAGTCTTACCAGAAAATGTCAGACATATGCTGACTATAATGTCTAGTCCAGCATATATCTCTGATGTAGAGGACACACTCAATGCAAAGCATAAAAAAAATGAAAGCGTCTTCTACTTCTTAGTTTTTATTACCATAAATTTGTGTATTTTGAGCAATTTTTTTTTGGAAAAAATGAAATTTTGTGAATCATGCAAAAAAGACTTTTTTTAAAATTGCCGACGTAGTCGGTACAAAAATGAAGGGATTTTTTCCCAGCTTTTTGATGTTACCAACAAAATTGGTATGAAAATGGTCAAAACCTGTGATTTTCAGGTATGAAAATTTCAAAAATTGAGGTTTTACGTCGGTAGGTTCAGGGGGAGCTTTCCGGGGTCCTATAACAACTGTATGAGCAGTGAACACATGCAGCAAATGAAATGGCAAAAGCGGATATATACAGTCAAACCCGCGCAAACGCATAATTTGGGTGGAAGACTTTTGCTATGCATTTTGGCAGGTTATGCATTTCTGTTGTCAAATGTGGCAGTAAAATGTATCAAGATTCAAGATTTTTTCTATGCATTATCACGGGTTATGCAGCTGCGCGGGTATGCATTTGCGCGGGTTTGACTGTATTGAGTAATTTGAGTTCACAAAGGGCAGCAAAGGGCTGTCTGTATAGGTTTGTATATGTATTGCAATACCAAAAGGGGGAGATCAATAGAGATCAATATATAGTTATACAGACTTTGAACTGTATCACTGCATTACATGCAGGCAAAGCTGATCTCTGCCTTGGTCATGGTCAGCCTTTTGGATTCCATGAAACTCCTTTTGTACACTACGGCCCAATCAGGACATCGCGGCCATATCGTGTCTCGCGATATTGCCGCAAGATCGGGCCAATCTTGGTTTATTATCCTCACATACGATATCGCCACAATGAAATTGAGGACATCAGCGCAATATTGTTGGTTTAGGTTCCGTGAATGCTGGGAGAACTGTTTGAATTGGATTGGATCCATTCAAATAGTTCAAATGGTTGAATCATTTGAACTGGGTTCTGGGTGCAGGAAATAGCCCAGTACGACCTTTCCTGGTTCTTGGTTTGGGGCAATAGGGTCAATTGACCAGTCTTAAATTACACAGTGAGCATGAGTTCGTGATTTCATCCAATGGGATCATCAAAAAGAGTAAAAACACTCGATAAAAAGAAAACAAAAAAGAACAAAACACATGAGACAAGACTTGAATAAAACAGAGACAGCTCTGAATGAATGTATATGAACATAAGGGAGGAACAAAGAACATGAGACAAGACTTGTAAAAAAAATAGACAAATCTAAATGAATAGAGTAAAAAGAGACCAAAAAGAAAAAGAAAAAAACAAGAACAAAATTGAAAGGAATTTGACAAGAGAGGTGATGTTTTATAAGAATCAGATCAACTTGCAACGTAAACAGAAGGAAATGGAAGGGTGAAGAATTGAAAACCTACAGGGATGTCCTGATAATGATACTAAAAACAACACATTTACACACGGCACAGATTGATGAAAATCAAAGAAATAAGAAAAGATGAGTACTAGTAGTTGGTACGGTATTGACAAATGGGAATGGGTCTAAAAAAAGGGTTGTTGGATAATGGAGTAACCAGGGTCACAGCACCACATCCATTCATCTCAGACAAATATCATCTTTCCTCTCTTCTCATAATAAATATGTTTATGATGTCATGACAAGATGGATGTATAGGAAGAAATATTCATTTCCCTATTTCCCAATTCTCTACATCAGGAATTGTCAAAAATAATAAATTATATTTCATCCATGTACATTATCACAAGAAATCGTTTTTTCTTTAGTCAAATCAATTATCAGAGATATTATCTTTTGTTTTCATACAAAGACCTTTCCTTTCAAAGTCTTAGTATGACATCCGGTGCATCTGCCGTAGAATTGACAAATGCCACTACCGCTATCTTTGATGATATCAACAAGATTCTCACAAATTATGACAACACAGGGGGCAGTAAGGTCACCTCTATGGCCCAGCTGCGTACTCAAGTCGCGTCCATTTACCATTACAAGGACCCCGACTTTTTGTTCCACTTCTCTGCTATTGCCTGTGCTGCCATTTCCTTGGATGTTAGAGAGCATTGGCCTTGCTATCCCATCACAACTGTATGGCCTGATAACGCTGACCCTCAAGCCATGCCTCCCATTGTCCTCAGCAACCGTTTTTCTTTGCCCCCTACCATTGACGTGTATGGTACAATCAAAGGATATTTGGAGAGGCCTATTCCTCCCTCACCTCCTTGGTTCAAGGATCTCTCAATGTTTCCTACCAACCTTCCGGCGAATTTGAACGGACCTCCCCCTCCACCACCCAGGCCAGCACCCTCACAACTACCTTGTGGAGCTCATTCCAACGAGGATAGGACTCCCGAAACGATGGTCCCAGGCCCTTCAGGCCCCTCGTTACTTTGTAGGATTCATTTTTCCAAAAGTCCTCAAATTTTACCATCTGTCCCTTCCCTCCCAATCTTTGAGCGGATCGACAAAGGGAAACGTAGAAGAATACCTTCTTCTCCCTCCTCTTCTCATACTTCATCTTGCCGTCCTTGGCCAGCACCAGCTGCTTCTGGAGCACCGGCATTTCCAGAAGCACCATCTTTTTCTGGAATCCCAGCTCTGGCTGGTCCCATTGTTTTGGATAAAGTCATTTCGGCTCCATACATGGATGACAATGAGCACCTTGTGCCAGAAGAATTTTCTCCTGGCTCCTATCATGTTAATCAGATTGCCTTACTTTATAAATCGGACATCAAACACCATATTGCTGCTTTCAACTCCTGTAAAAACAGACCGGCGAATTGGCAAAATTCACTTACCAAGGATTTACTGGAGTATAACTTTGTCAACTTGCGGAAATTTTATGGGCCGTTGCCTCCTCCAATCCTCCTCAAAGCAGGCTTTGTATCAATGCTGACGGTGACCTCAAGAACTTCGAGAGTTCTTCTCCCAAAGAAATTACCGACAACAATCATTGGCAGAACCTTCTTGCGGTTCTTGAACATGCCTACATTGCCGCCTTCCCCCCTGCAGCCATCTCAATCAAAGGCTATTTTGATTATATCCTCTCTCTTCCAGGATTATTTCAAGCTTGCGTACACTGGGAAGATGTCAGGGATTGTGATGCTGAACTTCGCAAAGAATTTGCTTCAAGACCTAGTCTTGTTTGGGGAGATTATGAACACAAGTCCCTCAAAGGTATTGACAACAGAATCCTCTACAGCCGTACCAGCAAACTTGGTTGTGCTGCTATTCCGGCTCCTAAATACCAATCCCCACAGCCTAGTCTTTGTCCAGCTTGGCTCGCTATTGAAGCACCTCCCAAAGCCTCTCAATCTTCTTCTCATTCAGCAGCCTCCAAAAAGGCACGAGGAAGACAAGTCAAACCATTGTACAAAGTCAAACCATCGAACAAAGTCCGGGATTTGTCTTCTCTTCCGGTGGCTGACCAACCTTGCAATAACTGGAATGCTCGTGTGTGTCCCTACGGCGACAATGACTGCGACCGAGTACACGGGGTATGCAACAAAGATGGCTGCTTTGAATCTCATCAAGGAAGTGTTGCTCACAAATGAGCCTAACACGTGCTCTTATCTCAGAGGTTTAGAAATCGACGTCTTAGATAAAGGTTTTTAAGCAGCAGTTAACTCTTCTATCAACGCTGATCCCCTCCCTGCTGCTCCTCCTCTATCATCTGACCCTCTTGCGGCTTATGCCATTAAAAGACGTCCTGATATTTTCAAAATTAACTGTTCAATCTATTTAAAAAATTTAAAATTTTTACTTAAAAATCACCCCAACAAACCATTTGTCAATTCAATTATCTTAGGCTTGACTGATGGTTTTTGGCCTATTTCTTCAAAACCTTCTGAAGAGACTGTATTTAACCCCAATCACGCCTCAGGGCCCAAAGCTGAAGAAGTCCTCTTCAAGACTCGAGACAAAGAACTTAAATTAAATAGGTTCTCTCCTCCCTTTTTTACCCTCTTGCCAGGCATGAAAGTGTCTCCACTTTGTCTGGCAACCAACCCTTCTTCCGGAAAAGTCAGGATGTGTACCAATATGTCTTTTGGTTGTCCTTCCCTCAATGACTTGATTAAAAAAGAAGATATGAAAATTGACCTTGACGGAATTCCTTACTTCATCCCCTTCCTCTTGTATCACTACTTTGGCAAAAACAAGTTTATCTTATGGAAGTCCGATGTTGATGCCGCTTTCCGCAACTTACCAGTTTTGAGACAGTGGCAATTCCGCCAAATTGTCAAGATTGGCAACTCTTTTCACGCAGACCAAAACGTTAATTTTGGTTGTTCAAGCTTGCCGAAACTCTGGTGTGCTTTCTTTTCACTCATCTTGTGGATAGCATACTACGAGTTCAACATCACCAACCTCAATGCCTACATGGACAATTCCTGGGGTATTGGTTTAGAATTGGACATGGTCTCTTTTAAAGGCAAGACAATCCATCTGAACCAAGCTCAGTTTTTGCCAATTTTTGATTTCATCAACCTCCCCTGGGCCTGGGAAAAACAAGTTTTTGGAAGCACTCTGGACATCATTGGCTATTCAGTCGACTGTTTAGAACTCTCAATTTCTCTCCCAGAAGGAAAATGACTTTCCCTCATCGCTGCCCTTCAATCATTCACCTCAGAACTTTTGCATCCTCTCGTCAAATGGCAAAGAATTACAGGTTGGGAAAATTGGGGTCTTAACATCTTTCCCCTCAGACAATGGGCATTACAATTGTCCTGGGATAAGATAGCCGGTAAAGCTTTACATCATACTCATATACCACTGAACAAGAATAATGTTGAAGACCTGAATTGGTTGGCTGACTCTCTCAAAGTGTGGCCTGGTCGACAAATTCTGAAACACCTTCACTGGAAAATCCCCAAAGCAGACTGCATGTTCTTTACAAATGCTTGTCCTTCCGGGTTTGGTTTCTGGCAACCGTCCAACAGCTGTGCCTGGAGCTATTCTATTCCTCTGCCTTCCAGGAATAGCTACTGGGCCGAACTCCTTGCAGTAGTTTCAGCAATCAAGATGAACGTCAACCTGAAAGCTTCCAAAGTGGTGATCTTCACGGATTCAGAATCAGTGTCTTACCTATTCTGTTCTCACCGCCCTACACCAGTTGCTAGATCATTATTTAAATATGCAGTTGACTTGATGTTGTCTCATTCAATCGATATCAAAGTCAGATTCATTAATTGTGAAAATAACAAAATAGCAGACGCTTTGTCAAAACAACAATTAGACTTAGCAAGATCCCTCCTTCCACGTATCACTACACCAAATGTAATCTTTACTGGGTGGTAAATAAAACTACTGACATAGAAAAGTCCTGAGGCAACAGGAAGAGAGCTAAAAATCTGAAAAAATATGCACCTTGTTCCTAGATGTTGGGGTGTCATGATGAGTATTTTTTTGTATTTTACACGCAGATATTGGTTTATGTACTAACAATAAACGCTGAAAATCATCAAAAACTCACATGTAACAATACCTGAAATATGGGTCATGAGTATGAAGACAATATTTTGTGGTCTAAAAACTTCAATAACTTTTGCAATTCTGCTCCAAATAACTCGATTTTTGGTTCATTCAAAAGCTGAACTATTCTCCTTCACACTTCATAATGTTAGTAAGGTGCTATCTAGTCATTTAAACACTCTACATATGTTCAAACAGTTCTGCATGAATAGCTCTGTAGGATCTTTTTTAGACCAGCTACAGATATGATGTCTCAATGAAAAATGTAGAGGAAAGGCTCACCTTTGCAATGCACTTTAAATCGAGTGATTTGATCCAGAACTTCAAAAGTTATTGATATTTGAAGATTCCAAAATCCTGTCTTCAAAGTCAAGGGCCAAATTTCAGGTATTGTTACAGGTGGGTTTTTGATGATTCTCAGCCTTTATTGTTAGTACATTAACCAATATCTGTGTGTAAAATACAAAAAAATACTCGTCATGACGCCCCAACATCTAGGAACAAGGTGCATATTTTTTCAGATTTTTAGCTCTCTTCCTGTTTCCTCAGGACTTTTCTATGTCAGTAGTTTTCTTTACCGCCTGGTAAAGATGACATCTTGTGTAGTGTATTCAGATCAGAATGTTCTTCCCTGACCCTTCTACCATCGTCGGAGGCCACCAAGACCGTTCCCTGCCTTCTCTAATCTAACTCTTTCTCCATGGGTCGCAATAAGAAGACTGAAGTGATTCACCTCTCCTTCAAATAACGCGAAGAACTCAACAAGAAAGACATCACTAATCATCTGGAAAAATCAACTGTTGCTAAATACAACTCAGGTTACTGTTGCTTCGTGAAATTTTGTGAAGATCATTATGTTCGACTTTACCCAAGCAAGACCAATCTCTTTCATTTCATCACTGTCGTTTCTTGAGAAGTTCAAACAGACACTGTCAGTAAGTACCTTACAGTAATCTCTTTCTCCATGCGCAAAAAGTTTCCTTTGGTAGTCCAAGCTCGGCTCTCTGTCAATGTCAAGGAATCCCTACGGGGATGTCAAAAATTATTCTACACACCTGTCGTTCAAGCAAATGCATTTACTATATACAACATACAATACTCAGCTTACTACTATAACTCAACCCATGATGACGCCTTATTCAATACAATCTTAGGCCTTGGTTTCTCAGGATTACATAGGTTAGGGGAACTTATCATACCCAATACCATCAACCTCCAGAAGGATCAAAAGTCAATCAGAAGATCATCCCTCATCATCTCTCTGTGCGGATCAGTAGCCTGTTACAATTTACCTTACCACAAGCACAGTGTCATTTTACTAGTCACTGGCAGGCCAGTGAGTTCCATTCACCTCAATCCAATCTCAATTCAATGTCAGTTCAATATCAGTTTGACCTCTAATGATGTTTGAGTGGGGGATATGCATGGGCTGCATAATCACACAAACCTTCCAGACATTCTGACACCTTCATGTGTGGACATGCAACCAAACTTTATTCCAGTTCATTTTGGAAGGTTGTTTGTCTGCTACTCTAGGCCAAACATTGAGATTGGATTGATATTGAACTGACATGGATTTGAGATTGGATTGAGATTGGGTTGAGCTGGACGTACTCACTGGCAGGATGGTATGGACAGGGACACAATTCAATGCATCGGAAGATGGACTTTGGAGGCTTTTTGTTGTTACATAAGGACACATCCTCTATTGAATTTAAACAAAACTCAACGCTTTGCTCAAACAACTGGCTTTATCACGGGAGAACACATTCAGTTTCCTGGAGCAGTTCTCGTAAGCTCGGTTTCATAAGAATTCATTCTTATCAAAGAGTCTCATGACTTTTTCATGTCACAGTACTGACATTTCATCATGTTCTTCTCCCTGCAGCCGTGCGCCAGAAAGTAGTGATAATCCCATTTGACTACACACAGTCATGGGCAGCGTTGAGTAAGTTTTGTTCCATCAAAACTATAAACCTCGATTCATTACGCTAACAAATCAAGAAACCTCTCTTTGACAGGTTTCTATCATAGGAAAGATTATTCTATCATCCTAATTGCATTAAAAATGTTGGCTCCCACATTTTTAACAAAGTTGTCAGTAATCTAGCAGAATCATGCTGAACTTTGATAAATCCCGTATTCCATAGACAGCTAACGCATAGTACTTTCGTTTATCATTTCTTTCACAAATGAAATTGATGAATCTGAAATTCATAGTAGATACATAGAGTTCAACACCTATTCAATTAGCAAAGAACCAATCTCACTCATCACTACTCTTATAAATACCATCACTACTCTACATATTACGTGGGTGGTAGAACTCTTCCTATTTACTCTCAAATCTTCTAGTACTTGTTCTTCCGGCCAGCTTTCTCAGAAAATGAAAATCAAGCTTGCCTCAAAGGCCGTTTAGTGTGATCCAGATACACCTAGTATCCAAAAAACCAAATGACCCATTCCTAGTAGTCGGTACGGGTATTGACAAATGGGAATGGGTGTAAAAAAAGGGTTGTCGGATAATGGAGTAATTGGGGTCACAGCACCACATCCATTCATCTCAGACAAATATCATCTTTTCTCTCTTCTCATAGTGAATATGTTTATGATGTCATGACAAGATGGATGTATAGGAAGAAAGATTCATTTCCCTATTTCCCAATTCTCTACATCAGGAATTGTCAAAAATAATAAATTATATTTCATCCATTTACATTATCACAAGAAATCATTTTTTACATAGTCAAATCAATTATCAGAGATATTATTTTTTGTTGCCTCCCACCCGCCCAAGCTGTTGAAAGGTTATCTAAAAATAGTAATATACTTTAAATTGTCTTAATTTCATTGATTATGTTTCACATTCTTATTAAGTTGTTAATTTCCCGAGAAAATTCTTTCTCCAGTTGGGTCAGAAAAAATTTTGTCAGAAAAAACATGTACAAGTAGGAGTTGGTGCGTCAGACCCATATGCTGCCCTCAGAACTCTTCCTATTTACTCTCAAATCTTCTAGTACTTGTTCTTCCGGCCAGCTTTCTCAGAACATGAAAATCAAGCTCACCTCAGAGGCCGTTTAGCGTGATCCAGATACACCTAGTATCCGAAAAACCAAATGACCCATTCCAAAGACAGCAAAAAAAAGTGAGCATCAGCAGAGTTGTGATTCCCAATTCCCGCCCGCCACCAGGACGGATCACAATTTGTAAATTTCCTGCGCAGTCAACGCAGCATGCCTCATCCGGTCACAAGCATCCATTTACCAATTCCCAAACAGAACGCGAGATATTCAGCCATTGGTAATGCCCTTGTTGACTGAGGTTGTGCGGAATCAAGGATCTCTCCAAGGTGGGCACAACACAGGTGAGGGTTGTAAGGAACCTTTGGCCCTTTTCAGACAATCCACCAACAGTGTTGCAAAGATGGTGAGCTGCGCTAAGGTTATCAATTCTGATATTTCAGGATAGGTAGTGGACACCTTTTTGGCAAGGTCCTTCAATCACATTATTATAAAATACAACATGGCAGGTCAAGTATGCCACTTTTTTGCTCATTTATGGGCCAAAACGAGCAAAAAAGTGGCCTACTTACCTGCCCTAATTGTTCAGAATCATACATTATGATATGATGTTGATAGGCTGCGATGACAAGATTCGAACAATAGGAAGAGTTGGATGGGAAGCTTAGTTGATTTTAGGGCGGGATATTGGTCTTGAGGTGTGGAAATGTCAATATCCTTTGGTACACTGTCAAACGTATTGGAACGTACGAGAAACTGTGGATGGCTGCGGCTTCTTCTTGTGGAAGGATGCATTGGTACATGCGTCTGGCCCGCTGGCGGGAATTGGCTTGCACATTAGGGCAAATGTTCACCTTGATGGGTGTCAAACGGACTCAAATTGTTGACAGCCGGGACAGGCCAGGACCCAAAAGACATTGCAAGGATAAGTATCTTGCAGTCACTGGCGCAATGTTGTTGGGGAGGATGGGAGTAACCGAAGGGTTGTGCAACTTTGTAGCGGCTACGGCTACCCACTACAATTCTGCACTCTAACCCAAAAAAACCGCAGCACCCCCCTTTTGGAAATATGTACCCAAACTCAATCCCCATCCATCTTTG